AAACTGAGTCATTAAATACTTTTTTGGCCTCATCAAGAAACGATTTCAAGAATGCCTTGGGTAAGCATCCGGATTTATAAACTTTCGAAAAAGATCTGGATGATCTTATAAAGAATAAAACTGATGAGCTTAAACAAGTTGAATCCGAAAATGAAAAATATCGTCGTGAATTATCTACAATTGATGGAAATTTGCAAATGTTACAATCTACCAACAACAAAGGATCCAAGACAATAAAGAGCATCGTAAAAAATTAAATACAGCTTGTGGTGATCGAGATCTTCCTGATGTTATAATTGGTCTTGAAAGGGAATTGAACGATATGCGAGAAGAACTTGCCAATGCATCAAGTAGTTCTGATATTTATAATAAGTTTGTCATTTCGGTATGTGATCGAAGTTTTGAAAACGATGATGAATTTAAAAACTTTTTAAAAAAGATTAAAGATCTTGCTGCCTCGGTTAGCATAACTGAAAAAATAACTGACTTGGAACGTCAAATACGTGATACTGATGCAAGGCTTAAACGTCTTCGCGAACTTCAGTCCGTGTGGAATGCCGTCAATCGCTTTCATTCAGATCTATCTGATTTAGAGAGACAAATTGAGGAATTACAAAACAAAAAGGCTGAAACTGACACTACGTTGGAAGATATTTATGTCAATCTCGCTGGAATCCAAGTAGAAATCAGCAATACTACAAAGCTACGTAGAGATACTGACAAAATTAATATTTGGCACAGGGAACTTGAAACCATAAAATCAGACATTTATTATACTGAAGATGAATTAAGTAATTCAGGATCAACAAGAACTGTTGAGGATTGTACAAATGAGCGAGATACATTGCAAGATGAGGCGAAAAAATTAAGAAGAGATATTGCCAATATTACGCAAATGAAAGAAGCGAGACTAAAAGAATTGAACACACGTTCAGAAAAAGTTGGTCGTTTGAAATTAGAGTTGCAATCTAAGAAGAATGATAAAGAAAATTACAACAGTTTGCAAAAAGAAATTACCTCATTGGATGAAGAAACTAAAAAGTATGAAGACAATGTTAAAATTTTTGATGCTCAAATATTGGAATTAACATCAAAGCTTCGAGAGACTGAAATTGAAATAAATGAATTCTGGCAAAAGAAAACTGAGGCTGAAATGGCAACCATTAATTATTTAACTGAGACTCAAAAACAATCTGAACGATTCTTTAGTTTAGATCGTAAATTTAATCATGGAAATAGCAAGGAAAGATTGGCTGAATGTAATGATCAAATCGAGAAATTAGACCAAAAAATAGCTACTAAAAATGCTGCCAGTGAAAATTCTGCCAAACAATTGTGAAATATGGATAAACAAGCATCTGATGCACGAGAAATTCAGAGATCAATTGATGAAAATCTTTAATACAGAAGATTGCAGAGTGAATTACGTGACCTTGATGATCAAATTAACGAATAGAATCTGCAAAAAGAGACTCAAATTACAAAATCCGATTGGACGAACTACAAAAAGTTCAAGAGACAGTGCTATCTGATGTAAATAATTTGATTATGGTTTATTCATCTTT